TTGACCGAACCGGTGGCGGCTTATTCTACTCTTTTCCTCGTTCGAGCTACCATTAAGGAGGGCCACCACCCTGACGGTTCAAAAAAATCGATTCCTTTTTTGGTTTCCTTAAAGTTTCAAGTGTGTAGATGTATTTCGAAATTCAAACGTTTAGCGACTGAAGGTAAAGTTTCAAAAATCTTACTTTATCAGTTATTTATTTCACGTAAAGAACATCAAATTAATTTTGCGAATATCATTATTTAAAATTGCATTATTTAACATAGCGTGATATTTAGAAAATGGGCAGCTTCTCTTTGAAGACATTTTTATCATATTTTATAAAAGGATACGATGTATTTAATACGATAAATACAATAATTATAACTATGTTCACTAGTGACGCTGGTAGTGAGCGTGTTAAGTTTAGCGGATCGATTGGAATCGTGGACGCCAGTGGGCGATCTTTTTTAGAAGTGCCATTAAAGAAGTAGCTGTAACTCCTGCAATTTTTAATATTTTCGGACGATAAAACAGATAAAACATGAATAAATATATCAACGAAATCCCAATACAAAGTGACCTGCTATTGAAATAAGAAAAAAATCACAGTTTTAATAAATAAATACACAATGTAGACCGTAATACCCTCTTAACCGATTTCTAAGTATTCCACCCCTACAAACCCTCATGGCCGCAGCAGCGTCGACGTCGACATCATCGTGGTCGTCGAGGAGGAACTCGATCATCCGCGGTACACTTCTTGGTAACGAGATTCTTTCGAATGTAACCATCGCCGTTACGGAAAACTCTTTTGAGACGTGCCGTAATTTACTAGAGTGGATGGCACCGACGACGCCGGGATGCGCCTTCAGCGCCTTCTCGTTGGCCGGGGATTTGATTTCTTGTGTTTTCCCGGCTCGGAACGAACGCTCGAGTTATTTACTCGCAGAAGGGTGCAGCTAAGTGCTGGGATACCTAGGACCACTAGAGTGCCCGCTAGCTTGAGCATCCCCCATTGGCTCTTGTCGGGAAGACGAGCGTGTACCTGTTATGATGGAGTTCGTATAAGGGGAGGTTCCGATTTAGGAATTTAAAGAAATCGATTTTTTTTCTTTCATTTTCCACTTTGCTTCAAGAATATATAGTTGAAAGGAAATTTCAACACTCTAGAAATTACTAAAGTGCCTGATGCATGGGTTCTTTTTAACATCATTTTTCCAATTGGTGAGACGAACATCTCAAAAACTAATTGATCAATTTAAATGAACATTTTTTTTTTTTTAAATGAAGGCATATACTTTTCTGCAGGCAGTGAACCTAGAATATCCCACGTTTCTTCGAATTTACTAATTTTTCAGAAATGTGGAATTGTGGAAAATTGATAAAAAAAAGTAATGTTTGCCTTCAAAATGCCAGAAAATGATAAAAAGAAAGGTTTTTTTATACTTTCATAGGTTCACTGCCTCGGAAATATGATGTAGTTCAGTTAGTTATTCGTTGTATCCGAAACCGATTCTCGTAGAACATTGATTGTTGGCCGTCATATTTTTCAAGTACTGGGACATCTGAATTAAAAGAATTTTGTTGATTCATAAACTAAAAACTACTACTTAAAATGTAGCGTACGGATTTTCGAAAATGTTCATAATTATAGAAATGCAGTTCGAAGAAAAACAGCCGTTTTTGTAAAAAATAAATAAACTTTAAATGCTTACTAGAAATTAAATAATTGGAATATATAAAAAATCGTGCACTACATTGTAGAATACTCTATGCAGAATATCTCCATAAAATTTAAAAGTAATCACATCTTTTTAGTTCCGAAGATTTCGTGACGGCCAGGTTGACAATTGTAGTTTCGAGAAAAATATAAAAAAAGTTTCAAGATAACTTTTCCCTCTGATGAAGTAAGATTTTTGAAACTTTACCTACAGTCACTTCGAAATATCACCTTGATATGACATTCTATTTACTTGAAACTTCAACAAAATAAAAAAAAATCACTAGGGTGGTATCCGTCTATTAATCGGCAATTCAACTGCTCGGTGATAGACAAATTGCTTGATTGGCGTTACAGCGTCTCGGAAAATATTGCTTTCATTTGTTAATCGCTGGCTTCGGAGTTAGAATTTCTCTGGCAGATCGTCTCATCCGCCGAGTACGCCTCGTTCTATTAATTAAAAGCCTCGGCTAAGCTAGGATTCGCATTGCGCGCTTGTGCGACTGCACATGTTTACGGCATCTCTTTTCAGATGTGGCTGAGCATCTTCGACATTAAAAGCAGTTCTCGCTCACAAAGGTTTAACTCTATATTGTTGCACCTACATTTCTATTTTTAGCCATAGCTAACCTTTAATGACTCAGTCACCCGATGCCCTGTTACACTGTTTTTGTTAACGCTACATAAGACGGTAATTGTTCAAAGTCGGTCAATTTTTCATCCTCAATAAAAAACTTTGCAACATACCGAAAATATTTAGTTTGATATTGGTCTTCAGACACTGTTGCATACTCTAGAAATTGTAATATTGCTTTCTATTCATGTGGAAGAATTATTAATTGTCGATAGGATTGTTCTTATGCGATTCCCTTTATTGTATGATTGACAAAACTGAAGATGAAACAATTGTAAACCGCAGGCCAACGCTATGTTTTCTTAAGGTTTCGCTCTATTCTCGTCCTTCGTTCATTAAACTGACTCCGAAAATAGAGTCTAATCTACAAGTCGGCTTCACTGATCGTGGCTCGCTCTTATTGTCCGGTAAAAATTTCCTGTTAACGGATCTATTCTTTTTCAGAAGCGACCGGCAAGAACGACGAACACGCAACGATTTCAACCGACTACAAATCAACTCGCATTAAACGCAATTACCAGCGACAGATGACGTAGGGTGCAGAGTTAGTTGGTACTCGTTATCCAGCAAATTGATCAAACTGCCTTTACTTAAGTATATTTGTCCATCAGCACCACTACGAGGCCGAACGTATCAGTTCTGATAAGTTGCACCTGTTAATGTAGCATAGAAAAATAGAAGCTCGAAAATTATTGGTCAGTTTCCGAATTGTACTATTTCTCACCTTTTTATCTTCATTGAAAACTACTCAGTGTCAAATATAGTGCCTCCTAATCACAATTATCTCATTAAAAACATTTTAAAAGATTGAGACTAATTATTGTTATAATATTTTATGAACTGATTAGAAGTCAAAGCCAATTACCTTATTCTACTAACATTTCCCATATTTCACAATAGACCTCAACAATGTCAAGGTTAAAAAAAAGATACTTTTCAAAACAAGGAACCATTTCCAGTAATACAAAATTTTGTTTTACTATAATTGATTCAAACAACGTGCTAAACTTAGATATAATAGAACTTATAAACTTAATTTCAAAATTATAAACAGAAATTATCAGATATACATGTGCATAATTTACACAAGCAACCGCCTGTCCAATCTCAAAAATATTAACATAATTACTAATAGAATTATTAAAATAACCTTTTAGCCTTCATAAACAAATATCTAATAACATGGAATTTTATTTCGTGTACATTTGCAATTTGGACAATTCGCCCTCTACTTCCAATCTCAAAGAAATTAGCCTCTATGTATTATAAAATCCGAGCTAGTCAAAAGTACTTATCGGTCTTTATAAACAAATATCTAGTAACAAAGAATCTCACTTCAGCTACAATTTATACACATCATCATCGACGTTCCTCCCCCGAGGTGTTAGGAATGCTCATAAACTTAACCTCAACATTAATCATTCTGCAACATTCTTCGGCAGTAATAAATTGCTTTCTAGTGATGAAGAGTCTTATTTCACGTGTGTACATATAAATGGGGTTGATACGACCGCGGTGGAAATAGTGTCGCAGCGATGGCGGGACAACTCTTTGTTTGAAGGGTGAGAGCGAGAACGCAGGGCAACAGAACTCGTGATACGGGCAGCTGTTCGAATTACATTGGGCTCGCCCCTGGCGCGTGGACGGTTTATTGACATACACTCCAGGCGACCCGCGTATTATTACCAGTGTCGTCGCATTCGCCACGAAATGTACGACCCGCCTTTTTCAAGAAAGAGCACGACCGTCGGGACCGGGACGAACCTCGGTCCACGGACCAGGAGAGGGAGAAAATCAACAATGCTTCATCCTTTTGCGTTCTTTTTCCGTTTTTTCACGCGAACCCTTTTGCTGAAAGCGAACTTCAACGAAGAATTTTGCAAACCGATCGACCCGACGCGAAAATCCACCGAACGCGAACCAAACAAACGTCTTTGTCTCTCAATCCAGACATTCCAATCCCTCGAAATGATCCCGGCATGTCGAACACTGATTCACCAACCAGTTCACGATTGAGACACACCGAGCTTGACGTATATCGAAGGATATATTACACCCCCGGAGAAATGAAATGCATCGCATACTCTGTTCGCATAGTTCGCAATCGGTGACACGATTGAAGAATTTCCAGAGAAAACTGTTTGAACAAATCGAGCCATACGCATATGCTTTTGACATTTCGCGTCCGGTAGCGTCCGTCAATGATCGGTCCGCTAACGTTTCGATCATCACGGTACCAGCAAAAGTGGCGTTCGATAGAATACTCTCGCAGGATTCCGAGGGCACGGCTCGGTCTTCGGGAACCCGTAAAAACTTGATTGACAAGCGAAGAAAATAGAATCGGTGACGGGTTGCGGGATCCGCCGTTGTCACGGAACATCGTACATTCTCTTTCATCGTAGGTCATAGTACATAAGAGAGTATCACTCTCACTCACCTGCGTGCTTCTCCGACTTCGGCGTCGAGGCCATGGCTAGCCGGTAATATGTCTTTTCGGGCCGCGACACTATCTCACCATTTCCGCGAACGACCGCATCGTAAACTACACACTAGTGGCTGCCGCGGCGTTTTCAGTCTGATGTAAACCCGACGTGCACCGCTACATCTTCGTTTGTCAGCCATGTTTCGGGGCGCGAGCGCGCGAAACGCCATCGCGCGGCCGAGATTTGAACACAACCGTTTAGCCAATATGGCCGGCCGCCTGTCAATCGGGTGACATTTCACTCAATTTTCCTCCACGGAGGGATGCCTGCAAACGGTTGATATTCACGAACGAAACATGTTCCACGGTCACGTACGTAACAGCGTGAACTGCGATACCGTTTAGTCAGCTATAACATAACCATTAACACCGCAAGTGTCGCCGTAGTGAAAATTTATCAGTAGGAGTGGCGGCGCAACGACTGACTTGGGTACGTCAGTACAGTGCCAGGAAAAAGTTGACGACCATCTGGGTACAGTCTGTAGCAAGAAATATTTGTATAATTCTAAATGGTAGCCATGCGAGAGTATGTGAGTACATAGTGCGAACGTTCATCCACTATACCAAAGACTGTTCCAATTTATTATGAATGAAAAGGTCATTTTTTGGAAATAAAGTGTTGGTTGTAAAATAAGGTTCTTATTTCTACATCTCTCAAGAATCAATAAAGAGAATTCTTGAGAGTAATATCAGAGAATCAAAGATTCTCTAGAACGTCGAATTCATTCGGTTAATGCAAAATACGTTTGATGCCAGCATAAAATGGGAAACTCTGGTTTGAAACAGCATTATCAAACCGCGAAGAAGACTGGCGCGTTAAATGTTTCCAACAGAAAGCTCGACGAATTCCCGCAGAATCTACACGCCTTGGCGCCGCTGTTACGTACGCTGGATCTATCGGAGAACAAATTCGTTCGAATACCCGACGATATTGGTCACTTCACGTTGCTAAAGCAATTAAATATTAGTCATAATAAGCTGACTATGCTGCCCGATGCTCTCGGAGCACTGACCAAACTAGAATGTTTAAATGCATCGTCGAACCAAATCAAATGTTTACCTTGGTCTTTGCAAAAATTAACGCGGTTAAAGCAGGTCAACCTCTCTAACAATCAGATTACAGAATTCCCCCCAATGTTTTGTGACTTAAAGTTCTTGGACGTGCTGGACATGTCACAGAATCGAATTACGACTATTCCGGACGCTGCCGCAGCACTGCATGTGGTGGAACTTAACCTCAATCAGAACCAGATATCGACAATTTCTGAGAAGTTGGCGGAATGTCAACGTTTAAAAACGTTAAGACTAGAAGAAAATTGTTTGCAATTGAATGCTGTACCTAAAAAAATTTTAAAAGATTCGAAAGTTTCGTTGCTAGCTCTCGAAGGAAACTTATTCGAGATAAAACAGCTAGCTGATCTTGATTGTTATGACAACTACATGGAAAGATATACGGCAGTGAAGAAAAAAATGTTTTAAAGAGGAATCATTATTATGAGAAGATAATCTTTTCACGTGTGTTTCAATAAGCGTGTAGAATATAAATTATACAACATATTTGATAATAGTTATTATACGGTTTTTTGTAAATTTTCAAAGCATCACATCGTGTATTTACGCAATTATTGTATTGGATAATAGTGATAATATACGGAATTGTACAAAGTATTTGTATTGGTTGTATTGTTAAGTCGAGATATTATTGTTTCATAATACCTTAATAAATAACACTGAAAATAAGTTTCATTTTCGTTCAAAATGTTTATTGATACTCTACTCGGTTAAGTTACTGTTGAGATCGTATAAATATTTTGTGTAATGTAACATCCTATGCTA